AATTGTTTTTGCAATTCAATTAGTTAATTACATGTCACATGACAACTGCATGTCACGGGGGCCTGGACATAAATCACGTGGTGCACTATTAGGCCTATAATAACCCCCAACCTTGATTCTGCATCAATTCAACAACTCCTGAATCCTCATCGACTCCTGAACACTTAGATTTTGACGTTGTCATCTTGATCATCAGAACCATCAAAGGCGGCAAAATACAGTAAGCAACTTTTCTCCCACTTTTCAATTCAGATGTAGACAAGTACAACACGTTTAGTAATGATTTAAAAAATTGTACGAGTTTCTTAGTGTCAATAATTAGTAGAACAGACGTAAAACAGACATACGAATGGACACGTTATAGACAACAATCCTATATATTTTAGTAACAATGATTAGTTGGAGTGACCAGTATTTATTTGCAAAAAATAGATTTATAAAAGTTCAGCTTATTAAGTACAATACACCCATCAAATAGAGCTGCATGTGTCAGGGACCCAATCTAGATAGCGCCAACATCTAGAACCGCTGCGCCGGAAGTAGGTAACGTTTCTAGCTCTTACGTCGAGTAAAATCAGAAATGATTCGCGTGATACATATATGATGTACATATATGTGAACAGCCTCTCGTTATTAATGCCCTTTAATTGTAGTCATCTTACTATTTGATCGTTTGTGCCACACAAAGCTATAAGTTCCGTAATAAAAATACGGAAAAATGAACAGATTAATCTCATGGACATATATTCAAAAATGGTAGCATAACGAATGAAGTAATGTTTTAATTTCCGTTCCCATAATACTGTTTAGATGAAACACCGTTAGCAACTTGAATGGGAATAAACAGTGGTAGCTGTCACTAGCCAAAGGATACTAGACTATACAAGAACAGTTTTAGCATCTCACACCGTCCCGACAGGCGCCAACCTCTCAAATATTGCACAACATATATTGATGGCGTGGTATGATATTAATATTACATTGTTTCTTGAATACTGTGCGAAGAATATTTTGTACGATGGCAAGATTCAAAACAAGTATCATTATCTTCTTTGCGAGGAATTTAGAAGTTGGAGTATTGAGAGAGGATAAGATCTGTGGATGAACAACATCACTTGTTTGATAATGGTGTTACAACATACACCTAAGCGTCGCTCCTAACTGTAATAAAGACGATGTTCATCAATATATCTTATCTCTACTCAGTTTTCATTATCGCTAAAATTAGACAAAACTGTAATTATGGTTTAACATGTGTGGTAGCACAGCTAGTCCCTGTAAAATTTTCATTTAAAAAAAATAAATAAATGTTTTTCTGAAAATGTCCATGAAGCGGATTGGTCAAGAAGTTTATATGAAGACCACTCCGGAATACAATGATTCAAAAATGCATACATGATATTGTAAATATATCTAGATTTTTAGACAGGATAATGCATAGATAATATTCCAACAGTCAGATTAACCAGATTAAACAGATTCCTCTACGCTGGGCAAACACTGGTCTATGTAGAATCATATCGTTATCTGGGACTACGGGTTGACGAGCATCTAGATATGTGAAACTGTGAAAGAGTTGTACAATTCTGCCAGCCATGCTTTGTCTTATTCTGTTGGGTGTATGTCTTATGATGTTTTTTATGAAACTGTATGAAAGTCTTGTTGAGCCGGTAATGTTCTATGGCTCTGGTATATGAGGATAAAACGTTAATCTAATCCACAATAGAGCCCGTAATTATTTCTTGGTGTTAGTAACGGTACCTCCATGTATAGCCACTAATGGAGACATGGGTCTCTCCTCCCCGTTTGTTACATTACATGCTAATGTTTTTAGACTACCCCAAGATTTAATAACAGTACTTGTAACGCTTTGATGAAGAAAATGGTTACTATGTAAAAGTTCATGGAGTTGTTAAAATTGCCTGTAAACTTAATATTTATGATGTTATGAATATTATGACTGCTCCAATGTCCCGAAAGAAGAAAATTGCCCATATTAAAAACGTTCTCGTAAACAAAGATGAACTGAGCTGGAGAACAGAGCTTTGGAACGATAAACATAACGTTAAGGGCAATACATTAAGAACTTTCATGATCGTAACGTTGTTGCTCCTTATGTTTTAAATACAGGGACCACCGTCGCATTTTAGCTAGTTTTAGATCTGGATCGAAACAGGACGATTTACAACCCCCCAAACCTTTTAGAAAATAGAATCTGCCCACACTGTTTTAAAATTGTTCATAAAAGTTTGTCGAAAATGAATTTCACTTCATTAAATGTTATGTCCTTTATGATCTTAGAAGTATTTTACTTAGATAATGGTCATCTCTTTTGAAACACGTGACGCATTCATAAAATAACTTCCTCTGTAAGGTTCACACCCAATTGTCAGACATCCCATTTGGCAGGTGACCGAATCATCAGACAGACCAGTCAAGTGTGACCAGTGTATTCGCCTGGTCTAAACTACTAATTACTGTGCTGCTCTCGACTGTGGGCAGAGTAAGCCATTCACCACTCGTTAAGTGATACAGATTAACCAGATTCCTCTACGCTGGGCAAACACTGGTCTATGTAGAATCATATCGTTATCTGGGACTACGGGTTGACGAGCATCTAGATATGTGAAACTGTGAAAGAGTTGTACAATTCTGCCAGCCATGCTTTGTCTTATTCTGTTGGGTGTATGTCTTATGATGTTTTTTATGAAACTGTATGAAAGTCTTGTTGAGCCGGTAATGTTCTATGGCTCTGGTATATGAGGATAAAACGTTAATCTAATCCAAAATAGAGCCGGTAAATTATTTCTTGGTGTTAGTAACGGTACCTCCATGTATAGCCACTAATGGAGACATGGGTCTCTCCTCCCCGTTTGTTACATTACATGCTAATGTTTTTAGACTACCCCAAGATTTAATAACAGTACTTGTAACGCTTTGATGAAGAAAATGGTTACTATGTAAAAGTTCATGGAGTACTAAAGTTGTTAAAATTGCCTGTAATCTTAATATTTATGATGTTATGAATATTATGACTGCTCCAATGTCCCGAAAGAAGAAAATTGCCCATATTAAAAACGTTCTCGTAAACAAAGATGAACTGAGCTGGAGAACAGAGCTTTGGAACGATAAACATCAATGTTTAAAACTACTTTCAACTACTTGTTGCTGGCGTACGCATTTTATATTGATCAAACTGTTATTAAGATCTGTAAAACATAACGAAATACAAATTATTTCATAACATCATATAGTTGTCATAATGAAAATAGTATTAAAGCATTATTGTCACATGCAATAATTATACTGTTCGGTATCATTAGTAAACTTTGCAACCACATATTATGTGAAACATTCTATAAGAGGTGAGGAAATTGAATGAAGCAGTGGTAAAATCTAACCATATATACAAAATTGTATATTTTGGAAATACCAACTATACAAAATTGTATATTTTGGAAATATCAAATATACAAAATTGTATATTTTGTATATATGGGTATTTTTTCTTGTGTACTAACTATTGATCAGTGGTAAAGACACGGCTGTATACTAATACTAACTATTGATCAGTGGTAAAGGCACGGCTGTATACTAATACTAACTATTGATCAGTGGTAAAGACACGGCTGTATACTAATACTAACTATTGATCAGTGGTAAAGACACGGCTGTATACTAATACTAACTATTGATCAGTGGTAAAGGCACGGATGTATATTAATACTAACTATTGATCAGTGGTAAAGACACGACTGTATACTAATACTAACTATTGATCAGTGGTAAAGGCACGGATGTATACTAATACTAACTATTGATCAGTGGTAAAGACACGGCTGTATACTAATACTAACTATTGATCAGTGGTAAAGACACGGCTGTATACTAATACTAACTATTGATCAGTGGTAAAGGCACGGATGTATACTAATACTAACTATTGATCAGTGGTAAAGACACGGCTGTATACTAATACTAACTATTGATCAGTGGTAAAGGCACGGATGTATACTAATACTAACTATTGATCAGTGGTAAAGGCACGGATGTATACTAATACTAACTATTGATCAGTGGTAAAGACACGGCTGTATACTAATACTTACTATTGATCAGTGGTCAAGGCACGGATGTATACTAATACTAACTATTGATCAGTGGTAAAGGCACGGATGTATACTAATACTAACTACAGATCAGTGGTAAAGGCACGGATGTATACTAATACTAACTATTGATCAGTGGTAAAGGCACGGATGTATACTAATACTAACTACAGATCAGTGGTAAAGACACGGATGTATACTAATACTAACTATTGATCAGTGGTAAAGGCACGGATGTATACTAATACTAACTACAGATCAGTGGTAAAGGCACGGATGTATACTAATACTAACTACAGATCAGGGGTAAAGGCACGGATGTATACTAATACTAACTACAGATCAGTGGTAAAGGCCTGTCAAAGATGTCTGTGGGCTGCACATGTAGGCGTATCTCCAATTCCATTGAAGTCCATGGCAGTATAACTATTTAAGATTTGAATGCTTGATTAAAAGGAATTGTCGTGGGAAGTAGCAAAAAAGCTGATAAATAAAATGAGTTTGCATTATTTCATCGATGCGATATAGATCTATATTAGCCCAGACTGACAGAATGCCTAGCCATTTACTGGCGTTGAAAATACCGCGGCAATATATCGTTTTTCATGGCGATTTCCAAGCTATCTTTCATCGTGACAATTTGTCTTTTAGTTGAAGACTTGACAAATATTGATCTTCTAAACAATAATCACTACAAAATATGTGCTAGTTAACAATATTCAGGTGTAAGCGAACATTTTTTAATGAAGGTGTAACAGGGTAACGCTTTAGCTTGGTTCCGTCGCTACATGTTACTAGTTGTCGCAGAGATAATTAATTATAAGATTATAAATAGTTAAGGTAGTAAGTCCCCTCTATCCCCTCTATGCCTCCATCAACTCTATCCCCTCTATGCCTCAATCAACTCTATCTACCTTATTCCTCCATCAGCTCTATCCAATCTACCTCCTCTACTCCTCCATCAACTCTGTCCCCTCTATGCCGCCACCAACTCCATCAACTCTATCTCCTCTACGCCTCCATCAAGTCTACTCCATCTTTTCCTTCACCAACTCTATCTCCTCTATGCCGCCACCAACTCCATCAACTCTATCTCCTCTACGCCTCCATCAAGTCTACTCCATCTTTTCCTTCACCAACTCTATCTCCTCTATGCCGCCACCAACTCCATCAACTCTATCTCCTCTACGCCTCCATCAAGTCTACTCCATCTTTTCCTTCACCAACTCTATCTCCTCTATGCCGCCACCAACTCCATCAACTCTATCTCCTCTACGCCTCCATCAAGTCTACTCCATCTTTTCCTTCACCAACTCTATCCCCTCTATGCCTCCACCAACTCCATCCCCTCAATGCCTCCACCAACTCCATCCCCTCTATGCCTCCACCTACTCCATCCCCTCTATGCCTCCACCAACTCCATCCCCTCTATGCCTCCACCAACTCTATCTCCTCTATTCTTCCACCAACTCCATCCCCTCTATGCCTCCACCAACTTCATCCCCTCTATGCCTCAAACCAACTCCATCCCCTCTAAGCCTGTACCAACTCCATCCCATCTATGCCTCCACCAACTCCATCCCCTCAATGCCTGTGCCAACTCCATCCCCTCTATGCCTCCACAAACTCCATCCCCTCAATGCCTCCACCAACTCCATCCCCTCTATGCCTCCACCAACACTATCCCCTAAATGCCTCCACCAACTCCATCCCCTCTATGCCTGTACCAACTCCATCCCATCTTTGCCTCCACCAACTCCATCCCCTCTATGCCTCCACGAACTCCATCCCCTCTATGCCTCCACCAACTCCATCCCCTCTATGCCTCCACCAACTCCATCCCCTCAATGCCTCCACCAACTCCATCCCCTCTGTGCCTCCAGCAACTCAATCCTCCCTATGCCTGTACCAACTCCATACCCTCTATGACTCCAACTCAATCCCATCTATGCCTCAACCAACTTCATCCCGTCTGTGCCTCCACCAACTCCATCCCCTTTATGCCTCCATCAACTCTATCCCCTCAATGCCTCCACCAACTCCATCCCCTCTGTGCCTCCAGCAACTCCATCCCCTCTATGCCTCCACCAACTCTATCTCCTCTATTCTTCCACCAACTCCATCCCCTCTATGCCTCCACCAACTCCATCCCCTCTATGCCTCCACCAACTCCATCCCCTCTATGCCTGTACCAACTCCATCCCATCTATGCCTCCACCAACTCCATCCCCTCTATGCCTGTACCAACTCCATCCCATCTATGCCTCCACCAACTCAATCCCCTCTATGCCTCCACCAACTCCATCCCCTCTATGCCTCCACCAACTCCATCCCCTCTATGCCTGTACCAACTCCATCCCATCTATGCCTCCACCAACTCCATCCCCTCTATGCCTGTACCAACTCCATCCCATCTATGCCTCCACCAACTCAATCCCCTCTATGCCTCCACCAACTCCATCCCCTCTATGCCTCAACCAACTCCATCCCCTCAATGCCTCCACCAACTCCATCCCCTCTATGCCTCCACCAACACTATCCCCTAAATGCCTCCACCAACTCCATCCCCTCTATGCCTGTACCAACTCCATCCCATCTTTGCCTCCACCAACTCCATCCCCTCTATGCCTCCACGAACTCCATCCCCTCTATGCCTCCACCAACTCCATCCCCTCTATGCCTCCACCAACTCCATCCCCTCAATGCCTCCACCAACTCCATCCCCTCTGTGCCTCCAGCAACTCAATCCTCCCTATGCCTGTACCAACTCCATACCCTCTATGACTCCAACTCAATCCCATCTATGCCTCAACCAACTTCATCCCGTCTGTGCCTCCACCAACTCCATCCCCTTTATGCCTCCATCAACTCTATCCCCTCAATGCCTCCACCAACTCCATCCCCTCTGTGCCTCCAGCAACTCCATCCCCTCTATGCCTCCACCAACTCTATCTCCTCTATTCTTCCACCAACTCCATCCCCTCTATGCCTCCACCAACTCCATCCCCTCTATGCCTCCACCAACTCCATCCCCTCTATGCCTGTACCAACTCCATCCCATCTATGCCTCCACCAACTCCATCCCCTCTATGCCTGTACCAACTCCATCCCATCTATGCCTCCACCAACTCAATCCCCTCTATGCCTCCACCAACTCCATCCCCTCTATGCCTCAACCAACTCCATCCCCTCTATGCCTCAACCAACTCCATCCCCTCTGTGCCTCCACCAACTCCATCCCCTCTATGCCTCCATTAACTCTATCTCCTCTATGCCTCCATCAGCCCCATCAACTAAATCTTCCCTATGCCCCTCTCAACTCAATCAACTCCATCTCTCCTCCATGCCTCCATCAACTTCTTCAACTAAATCTCCTCTATGCCCCAACCAACTCCATCAACTCTATCCCCTCTATGACTCCATCAACTCTATCCCCTCTATGACTCCATCAACTCTATCCCCTCTATGATTCCATCAACTCTATCCCCTCTATGACTCCATCAACTCTATCCCCTCTATGACTCCATCAACTCTATCCCCTCTATGACTCCATCAACTATATCCCCTCTATGACTCCATCAACTAAATCTCCTCTATGCCTCCTCCAACTCCATCAACTCCATCTGCACTATGTCTCAATCAACTCTATCTCCTTTCTGCCTCCATCAACTAAATCTCCCATATGCCCCCATCAACTAAATCTTCTCTATGCCTCTATCAACTCCATCAACTCTATCCCTCCTATGCCTCCACCAACTCTATTCCATCTTTCCTTTCATCAACTCTACCCCCTCTATGCATCAACTCCATCAACTCTTTCTGCTCTATACCTCCATCAACTCATGTGTCCCCTCCTTATCCACATTACATAGTCTCATGGGATCTGAAGATGGTTTCAGCTGGACACGGCTACTCGAGAGACCTCAATTGTAACAGGGCCACTCTTGCCGCCTGCCGCACATAGCACGGTTCCCTCGTTGGTTGATGGTGGTGGTCAAGGCAGACCTTTTCGTGGTAACACCAATCAAGTGCAGGAATTTGCCCTTTGACCCGTGACTGCATATCGGAGATAATCTCACCAAGATAGGATATCTGCATGTTTTGTACATAGCTCTGTATCCCATGATGCCTCACAACATCCGGTGAAGGGTAGCAGGCCTGATGAGGGTGGCAGTTCGGGTGCACAAAGAGGTTGTGAGCGATAGGTTCACCCTACTTGCACAGTGTGGATCTTATCGCCATGATGGACGAGCAAGTACAGATCTGTGGCCAATTACTCGCGACACGGTGGCGAGATCGACTCCATCTGCAACCGGAGTCTAAACGCTTCTAAAAGGAGGAACATTGTAAATGACAGAGGTCGCGACAACACCTTCTCACACGCACAGATCACCATTGTTGTGTTGTAAAGGGAGGTAACTCTATCCTCCCGCGGCCATTAGGCCGTACGGATCAGTCACGCTGTCAGACATTAATTACAGTGCTAATCAAAGACGATGACCGCTTAGCGGTGACACGCTACTAGGGGCGGCACTGAGGATCTCGCTCACGCATGCGTACCATGAACTCACTGAACTGCTGGCGTAGACAGTCACGTGTTGACATCAAGGGGGGTCACCCCGCCTCAAGGAGGCAACATGATATTGACCTCCGCATGTGAGTGAGCGAGTGAATTCGGTTTATATCCATATCAGCAATATTACAACTGCGTCAAAGTGGTCATAGTCATTGGATCCTTGTTGTATATACAACAGAGCCTATTGATATCTGAACATTGACCCTCCAGAATGCAACAAATCAAACGAACAAGACGTCAATAGTGTCCAGCAACGAGCTGCAACATAAACGGCACCATGACGTCCACTATATAACATCCACGTTAACGCCAACATGACGTCCACTATAGGACATACACGTTAACGCCAACATGACGTGCACTATATAACATCCACGTTAACGCAAACATGACGTCCACTATATAACATCCACGTTAACGCCAACACGACGTCCACTATAGGACATACACGTTAACGCCAACATGACGTCCACTATAGGACATACACGTTAACGCCAACATGACGTGCACTATATAACATCAATGTTAACGTCACCATGACGTCCACTATATAACATCCACGTTAACGCCAACATGACGTCCACTATATAACATCCACGTTAACGCAAACATGACGTCCACTATATAACATCCGCATTAACGCCAACATGACGTCAACTATATGACATACACGTTAACGCCAACATGACGTCCACTTTATGACATCCACGTTAACGCCAACATGACGTCCACTATATAACATCCACGTTAACGTCACCATGACGTCCACTATAGGACATACACGTTAACGCCAACATGACGTCCACTATATAACATCCACGTTGACGCCAACATGACGTCCACTATCGGACATACACGTTAACGCCAACATGACGTCCACTATATAACATCGACGTTAACGCCAACATGACGTCCACTATATAACATCCACGTTAACGCCAACATGACGTCCACTATGGGACATACTCGTTAACGCCAACATGACGTCCACTATAGGACATACACGTTAACGGCAACATGACGTCCACTATAGGACATACACGTTAACGCCAACATGACGTGCACTATATAACATCAACGTTAACGTCACCATGACGTCCACTATATAACATCCACGTTAAAGCCAACATGACGTCCACTACATAACATCCGCATTAACGCCAACATGACGTCAACTATATGACATCACGTTAACGCCAACATGACGTACACTATATGACATCCACGTAAACGCCAACATGACGTCCACTATATAACATCCACGTTAACGTCACCATGACGTCCACTATAGGACATACACGTTAACGCCAACATGACGTCCACTATATAACATCCACGTTAACGCCAACATGACGTCCACTATATAACATCCACGTTAACGCCAACATGACGTCCACTATAGGACATACTCGTTAACGCCAACATGACGTCCACTATAGGACATACACGTTAACGCCAACATGACGTCCACTATAGGACATACACGTTAACGCCAACATGACGTGCACTATATAACATCCACGTTAACGTCACCATGACGTCCACTATATAACATCCACGTTAACGCCAACATGACGTCCACTACATAACACCCGCATTAACGCCAACATGACGTCAACTATATGACATCACGCTAACGCCAACATGACGTACACTATATGACATACACGTTAACGCCAACATGACGTCCACTTTATGACATACACGTTAACGCCATCATGACGTCCACTATATAACATCCACCACATGACGTCCACTTTATAACAACCACGTTAACGTCACCATGATGTCCACTATATAACATCCACCACATGACGTCCACTAAATAACATCCACATTAACGTAACCATGACGTCCACTGTAAACGTCGGTGTAACCATGCTGCCCCTTATACAACATCGGCGTCATCATACCGTTCCCAACATGACATCGTCGCACCAGACCGTCCCTATATCAATTCGACGTCACATAACAGCCCCGTGTGTACACCCCTACGATGCACGCAGATCGATGTACGAACTATTCAAAATAACCCTCACGCTTGACGATTCTACAAAGACTCACATTCCACACGCGTGTAGGTATGACAGATGTACGTGGGCTGATAGCCACTTGACCAGAGCCTGCGTTCCGGGCAAGTAATGTCCAGCATTGTCCACGGATGTTCGGTGGTCAGTTTAACTGCGTCTCCACACGCACGTGAGCCGCTATGTTGCGTGGGCGTTACCCGCCCCGACCTCCCCCTGGACCTTCCCCTTGCGTCAGCACGTGATGTAAATGACCGTCAATGAATGACGTGATTGATTATGTCCAGGAATATAATGACCATGTGTTTGGGTGCAGACAGTGGACACAACACTGAGGCGGTCAGCTGCGGATAAACGCCGCTTATATTTCTGATTGATGGGAATACTAGACAGCATACATTGTAATTTCGCAGCGATTAAAGCATTTAGAGAGTGGTTATCTGCCAGATTTAAGCAAGTTCCGCAGTGTCTAGTCTCTTGTTGAGTCCCACTATAACGCCCCCTCCCCCGCCCCTCCTGTTACAAGGAAGTAAGCGGTCTTGAAGACAACAGGAGTATTCCACACCGTACTGCAGCGCCATTGCTTTCTTTGTTGTTTCAGTGTCGACTAAAGAACAAGCCCTCATTTATAACTGACCGCATTTGATAAATAAGTGGTGTTGAGATGGCGAAACTATCTCTTCTGTATCTAAGTTTACTCCAACAATAGACACATGATAACTTTGGTCGACAGTTTTCTCTAAGTCTGTACATCGAGGCAGTAACACTACTAAATTCGCTTATCATTCCAAAATTTAATAACTTGTTTTCGTCTCTTCCACATCCCTGATACACTTGTTGGAGGCTGTCATCATACGTGTTTCAAATATATATGGGGGAATAAGCCTACTACATTTAATTAAGACTTGCTAGTTTGCACTTTTGAAGATTGTGGTTTCAATGCTCCCAAAGTTAAAGTAACAATACAGCCTCAACACCGTGCAATGACAAGGGGGCAGCTTCCTCCATGAATCTGTCCAAATCTGTGTCCCTTGTAATATAGGAAAGCAATGGTTAAAATCTAAAGAATATTATAATCTCACTACTACGAAATAGCAAATACAGTGACATCCATTCTGCTTGGTGGGCTATTCAAAACACTCCGGAAATTATCAGCACTTGTTTAAAAACTGAAAACATCCGAATTGATAAATACAGTAATCTACTACCAAGGATGGAATAAAACGAAAATTCGATATATAAATGACATGCTAGATTCATCAAGACAATTCTCGACCTATCAAAGTTTTCTGAATGAGTCTAAATTAAAAACTAACCTTCTAGAATACACGGAATTTGTATGCTCAATCAAAAAGAGCGTTCCTTGAATTCTAACCTGTACAATCTCATAACAAGAAGCACCGGTTTTGCCTTATTTCATTTGCAACCTGTTAAACATATTGAAAGGAACTCAGTATTACTACACGCATTTCGACAAGCATAGAAGATGTAATCATCATTGTAGAAACTGGAAAGTTATACTGAAAAGTATGATATATTTGGAAATCTGGCCTCTCTGTGATCAGGAACCGTTCCGATGTTCACGGGATAGTGAGTCACAATGGTTCCAGTACAAAACTGAACACCACATTTTATGTACCAGTACTGGACTTGTACACATATGTATAACAGATACAATGTTATTCAAATGACGCAGAAACGGTTTTGCACATATTTCCGATTGTAGCAGGGTAACCCGGATCTGGCAGGAGTGCGTGAGTTAACATTTAACTACATCAGAAATATTATAGCCATATCGTGACGAGAAATTATCCATTAACAATACATACATTTAGACTAA